TGCCAATTGACTTGCATGGGCTCCATTGAAATACATTACAGTACAAGTAGAGTTGCAATAAAAACCCAGAATGGATTTTCCATTAGAGTCTCTGGGTCTAAATAATTGGCATTGAAACTGGTTTAACATAAGAGAGCCCTGATGGATCAGATCAGTGGTCTGTCTAGTCCAACATCTTGTTTTATACGTTGACCAACCAGTTTTCTTGGGGGGGGGGCCGCAAATACAGCATAGAGGCCTTTCCCTTACGTTGTCTCCTAGAGAAGAGAAGAAGAGAAGAGAAAAGCACTGACATGCAGAGATTTTATGTCTCTGAATGTGGAAATTATCTTTACTCACTGTGGCTAGTAGCCATTGATGGACCTATCCTCTGTGAATCTGTCCAATCCCCTTTTAAGTTCAAAAGTTATTTTCCCAGCCAAGACTTGCCGTGGTGTTTCACCTGCTGTGTTCTTGGAGCCTCCCTAGAGATAGAGGACTTATCTGTCTAGAAGCTTTGGTCCACAGTGGAAGATGGATTCTGGCTGATCTTCATTTTTGTACATGAAACTGCATACATGGAAACTTGATAATTGTTTTCACTGATTTAAATGTTGGTCAAAAAACTCCAGATTTTCTTAAAACTCTTTCAGTATACCTCTCCATGTATTAGCAGTGGTTTTTTAAAATTTTACTTTCCTTTATTCAATAAAAGCTCTATGATACATTGCTCTTGAGCGGTGAATAGTTGTTGTTAATGACATCACCCAATATTTATTTATTTATTTATAGCCAAAATAGACGGGGGGGGGGATTGCAACTGCTGGAGTTCTTTTTGGATCCCTGTCAGCAAGTAAACACGTAACTAGGTCATGAGAATATACATCAGAATGAGCTTGCAAGCACAGTGAAATATAATGCCTCCTGAAATTATCATACAGAGGACACTCCAGAAGGATATGTGCTATCATGTCAATCTTACTTAAGGGGCAGGGGCAGATTCATTCTGAATAAGGTAAATGCATGAACCCATCCCTCATAACTGCCAAGGAGTGAGCATTTAGTCTGGCGAGAATGAACACCTTTAACAGGCTTTGGGAAGGCGATAGGTAGAGGAGGGAAAAGATTTCGGAGCTGGAATGCCAAACAATTGGGATGAACAGACATGCCACAGCTTGCTCTAAAAAGGCAGAGCTTTGGTGATCGATTGATTTTACATGATTTCTCACCAAAGTAAATGCTGCATGAAAGCCCAGGGCCTGGATAGTGTTCAAGTTTTATTTATTTATTTATTTATTTTTATACCCCGCCCTCCCCGCATGCGGGCTCAGGGCGGCTCAGGGGTTAACATCCAGAGCCAACAGTTTTTCAAAAACAGTCTTAAACCACATTGACCTCTTAAGAGTCTTCTTTCCGGAATGCCAAGTAGCCCTTGCTGGTCAAGTATGACTTGATGAACAGTTTAAACGCTTGTAACCAAGCCCTTGCCTGAAGGAAAAGTTGGCCCAGTTCTGAATGGAGAGCCACACTGGCCACACAGTGAGGAATGTTTAATAATTTTCGCAGAAAATATAAATGAAGATGGTCAGTGTTTTCATTTACCGAGACAATCCTTATGGCTACCCCATAAAGGATAATAGGAGTGACTTTTAGGTTAAAGACTTGAACAGCACCTCCATTTCGGGAAAAAGTTTAATATAATGTCGGCACAGGTTTTTGCTTTTCTCCTTATCAATGACTGATGTGCCCCCCATTTTAGATTAGATGCGAAAAGGATACCCGAATATGAAAACTCCTTCACTTGTTGGATTTCTCCCCCATTCAGAGTTCATCTGAACACTGAAGGATTCCTTCTTCTTTTTTCTTCTTTTTTTTGAGAAAACAACTACTTTAGTTTTCTGGTAATTTATTTTCAGGCCTTCCTTAATACAGTATTCCAAAAAAATGTTTAATGATCTCTGCAAACGGACTCTTGTCCAAGAAAGCAGAGCAGTGTCATCAGTTTAAAGCTGAACTGAAATATTGCAATTGGCCAAATACGGTGGATGATAAAGCTCGTTAAAGGAAGTCAAAAGATCATTCATATATAGGTTGAACAAAAATGGGGCCAAAAGGTAGCCCTGCCTAACCCCTTTATTAAGGTTAAATAGCTCAGTCAGCTTGTCACCATAGCCACAGCGGACCTGAGCTGTAAGGTCCTCATGAAGTTGCTGCATGAGCCAGAACAGCCTTTTATCAATTGTGGTGTGTTGCAGTTTTTCCCGGAGTCTTGTTCTAGGGATGCTATCAAAAGCCTACATAAAGGGTGTCATTTGGGAAATTTGTGTATTTGTGTAGGTAATGGAAATTTGTGTAGGTAATGGTCCAAGGTTGAACTACCACTCCTGAACCTTATCTGCTGCTGGCTCAGATTATCGCCCTGTTCAAGCCAATCAGTTAAGGCATCTAGCAAATATGAAGAATATAGTTTGTCCAAGCAAGATAAACTGATTGGACAATAGCAGATTGGATCTGAGCATTGACCTTTTTGAAGATTGGAAGTATTACTGTGTGCTCCCAAAATTTTGTGATGACTCCAGACATGTTTATTTGTGAAAACAGTGGAGCATGGATCTTTGCCCACCAAGATGGATTTAATTTGAATAATTTGTTTGGGATAAGGTCTGATCCAGGGGCCTACCCTGAGTGGAGGCAATGGATCAGAAGGAACAGTGAAATAATCTATAAGACTAGCTCCCTTGAAACCCAAGAAGGTATAATCCTTACTTGGATCAGTTCTCTGGTGACCATTCAAAATTACTAACTTCCTTTGGATAGGAAAAGTGGCCTTCAAGCCATTGGTTTTTATTATGACATCTTTCGATGGCCTTTAATTTTCATAGCTACTGTTCTGAAAGATCTACCCTTTCATGTAATTACCTTGATGTGCTGCTGCCTCTCCAGTGATGCTTGATTTAGTGGACTCACTGTTTTTATAAATTCTCTCAGCTGCTACCAGTCAACTTTTTAGTTCCTGCATTTGTATCTGGCTTTTCTATTCTAGCAGAATGTTTCAGATCTACAGTTTCCTAAGGACAAGGTCTACTATCTTCATGGAATGCTATGATAGTTTTGCTCTAAACTAAAAATAATGTAGATTCTGCCTCATGCACTGTAATTCAAATGCACACACCATCCTACCTCCGTTTAAACTTCCAGTGCTGTTTTAAAGGCATATTAAAAAGTCACCATTTAAGCTACTTAGTTTATTTAAGAATGAGTTCCTTTTTTATAAACCACACAAGAGGAGCTGTGTTCTTATGGAAATTCCCTTGTCTGACTTCACATTGCTCCTGTAAGACATGGTTGGGTTTTCCCACACTTTGGAATGTATGAACAAGTTCTGAGAGGCTGTGGAATTTGTAGCTTTAAGACCAACAAAGTCATGCAAGGTTATGGATCATAGTTTGACCTGTATAATTTATGCCCATTTATTGTATAATTCTAACAATGCTTAGCTTTGATTTGAAGGTTATCCAGAGGAATACATGTATTCCTTGGGAAGTTTTTCAACACTTAATCAATCCCAACACTTAATCAATCCTGTGATCACCATTGTTGTCTTAATTGAGTGTGACTGCAAGCAGTTCAAGAACTTACAGGCAGTTCAGTTGTATAAATGTTTTAAAAATGGGTTCCAATTAGCTGGTAATTTTTGCTTCGTGTAGAGGTGCAGAGGCAGTTTAGAAAGAGAAAGCGGTAGCTTTTTAATTTACAGCCAGAATGCTCAGTTGATAAAGTGTTTACTTATGGGAGAACAAAGTTAAAATCCCTGCTCAGCCATGAACTCACTGACTGAGTGGCTTTGGGCCAAGTTAATTCTGGTCAGAAGATGGAAAAATAAACTGTACATTGCAGAGTGCTATAGAAACTGCTGCTCTCTATGCGGACTCTTCTTCCAAAGCTTTGTACATTTTAATTTTTCCTTTTGCCCTTTTTGTATAGCTAAAGCAGACAGCAACTCTTGATTAGACTGCAGAGCCTTGATGTAAAGTAGAAACCTATCCTGTAGTATTCTTTTATGTCTTCTGTTGTGTGTGGGCCAACACTTCTGAAGCTAAATCTGTAGTAGAAAAAATGGACAGTATTATGATGAGGAAAAAATAACTTTAATTAGCAGTGTGTTAGTTACAGACACAGGGACTTCGAATTCTTTTTAAAGATAAATGAGGATTTTAAAGCTGTAATCTTGAAACCTTTGCTTCCAAGTAAATGTGCGCAGGACTAGGGATGCTAAAGGCCTGGGTGTTGCAAGCAATGAGTAGGCTGCACTGACTGACACTAAACTAAATGGCTGTATGAAAGAAACAAGGAGGAATTTCACATTACCCTTTTTAACCCATTTTGAAGCCGTTTTTGATCCTTCATGGAGTAAACCGGTATAGGGTTACCATTTCACACATGGCTTTCCTCTTCCGGTAAAGAGCTGGATCTGAAGCGGTTTGCCATTTCAGACTGCACCGCTTTTTCCCCGCCGTTTTTCGCCTGCGCGGGCAATCTCTGGCTTTTTTTTTAACGTTCGCTTTAGAGCGCTATAGCGCTATAGTGCTATAACACAACACTCCAGGCATTCCAATGGGGCTGATATAATGCTGTTGCGTTATAGCGTTGTACTGTTATAGCACTATAAAGCGAACGTTCAAAAAAAACCCCGGAGATAGCCCGCGCGGGCGAAAAACAGCGGGGGGAAAGCGCATCGGAACTGGGAGAGGAAACTGAAGACTACTTGGAAGCGGTTGACAGGTAAAACGCTTCAGGCCCGTTTCCTAAACGGGACAGAAGCGTTTGTGTGTGAAATTACAAATATATTCCGGTAGGGAACCGGCTCTAAAATGGTTCTATCTGAAATGACAGACCAGAAACCGTTTGGCAACCGTTCATCTTCCGGATTATATCGTCCGTCTGAAATTCCTCAAGGTGAAGACCTCATCTGTTCCTTGTAGAAGTCCTTTAGGAAAAGCTACATCAGAACCCACAAATCCAGTTGACAAATATCTGGAGTAAATTTTAACTGCAATTGGGTTTTTCTGACAGAAGTTGCCTTTTAATTTTCTAAAAGACACAACCCCAACTGCTGTTTAAATTTATAGCAAGTTTGTAGGTCTGTAGCCAGCCATGCAGTTCTGAAGCCATAAGGCACTTACATTTTCTTACGAGGGGAAGGCAAGTTCTGCCAGTTCCGTCACACACACACTGCAGATTGGGGTTTGGTGGACTTGTAGCTGGGGGGGAGGAATTGATGGAGATTTCAACCACCACTCTTCAAGAAATCCTGCATTCCCTTCTGTCATTATAATTGTGTGGTTGAATACAGGCCATTGTTGGTAATATACATTTAACTTCTAAATCTAAGAAATCCATGTGGTGCAGAGACAAAACTCTGTTTACATTTGTGATTTGGATGTTTGGACTGTAAAGATACGGCATAATTTGTGAAATAGCCATCTCATGAATTTAGAGTAAATGTATCTTGCTTCTATAACTTGTGGTTGGGCTGGTATATAACTTAATGCTACAACAATGGAAGTACATTGTCCATTTAAATTTTAGTCAAAGCAGCTACAGCAAATTAGCCAAAGTTATCTCCATTTTTCCACAACCCTTCACCAAAGAAATTTGCTTTCATGGTACATTGCCTACTTTTTGCATTGGGACATCCTTTGCATAGTTAGTGTTACTACTACTTTTTCATATGTAATACTAAATTTAAACTGGTTTTAAAACCCACCCAACACCACTGAATAATAAATTCAAGAAGAAACTGCAGGGCTAAGAAATAATGATGAATCAGTAACAAAATTTTAGCACAGAAACAGTTTTCTTTGGCCAGCCCCATGGAGTGCTGTTCTAAGGAAGGCACTTTAATATCAAATAATAGCCTCTTGGAATAAAAATTCCATGAACATTTCATTTGATTTAGGAGGATAAGCTAGAAAATCCCATCATGCTATCCCTCTAACAGTTATAGTGTTTTTTCCTGGCGGAAAAGTAAACCAGGGTGGATTGTAGCCAGAATCCCTGTTTGGTCTTCATTGCTATACACAGTTCTGTGTAGCCCAGCCACACACACCAAAGCCATCTCTTTCATTCACAGCAAAAACAAAAATTACAGAATTGAAATGTTAAGTGTTATCAAGCATTTAAAATTGAACACTTGATACGATATGCTAAAAAAAAATTACATGTTAAACAAATTCTATTAAAGGGTTAGCTGTCCTTAATATTAACTTCAATTTAGTGGCCCATTCAGTAAGCAGTACCTCAGAACTTCATGAGAGCCAGTTTGGTGTAGTGGTTAAGTGTGCAGACTCTAATCTGGGAGAACCGGGTTTGACTCCCCACTCCTCCACTTGCACCTGCTGGATGACCTTGGGCAAGCCATAGTTCTGGCACAGCTGTTCTTGAAAAAGAGCAGTTTCTGTCAGAGCTTTCTCAGCCCCACCTACCTCACAAGGTGTCTGTTGTGGGGAGGGGAAGGTAAAGGAGTTTGTAAACCGCTCTGAGACACCTTTAGGTAGTGAAGGGTGGGGTATAAATCCAATTTCTTCTTCTTCTTCTTCTTTAAAAAGTGAAACTTTTTTCCCAAGGAGCAGAACCAGCACTTTCCTATTTATTCAGAAAATATGAGCTTACGAATTTTTTATATAGTGCTCTTTTTTTCCAACAGGTATGACAATTCAGCTATTAGGATTACATTCTTGATCAGTCTCCTACATTAACTTGTAACTAACCAATCAGGCAATGCCAGTTTTGTGACTCAAACCAGTAAGATCTGTTCCTGCAACTTCAAACCCTCCCACTTCCCCCATTTGCAGTCTGAATGGTCATCAAAAAATGACTCTTGGTGTTCCAGTAACATCAAAATATATTATATAAGAATGGAGAAAATTAGAGAGAATGAATAGCAGAACAAGAAAATACACGTTTATCAGTAATGCTGACCTTCCTTCAGGGAGAGAATTCACCACAACTTTGCTCTCTTGAATCAGCAGGTCTGTCCTGCAGCCAGATCAATTTGACTCATTCCATGTTCTTCTTAAAACTAAATGTTTTACTCAGAAGAAGTCCCCTCCCCAACTTAAAAAAAGCGTTCTCCCCCACTCTTGTGCTAGGCATGTTGACACCCACCAATCTGGGATTACCAAAGTGTGGTCCTTATTATGACAAGTAGATCTGCAGAGTTCTCTAACCCTGCATGCTGCTTGTCAGTGCAAATGAACTTTTTCAAGTACTGAACGTACCTTCCAGTGTGAAGACGCTGTAGTGAAGCCTGGTGCAATAAGTAGAAGCCGTCATTGCTGGCATTGTTTCTGATAGATTTTCACTTTTGATGGATATTCCTCATGTTCTCTTTGTCTCCAGGCCAAGGAGTGTGGTCAGATGCAGAACAAGTGGCTCATGATTAACATACAGAATGTTCAGGATTTTGCCTGTCAGTGTCTCAATCGTGATGTTTGGAGCAACGAGGCTGTGAAAAACATTATCCGGGAACACTTCATTTTTTGGCAGGTAGGAAAGCTTTTTGCCTGAGTGAAAATTAGCTATTAAGTCAATACTTTGAAGAAAAGTCAAATACCAACACCGCCTAGTAATATTTGAAGGAATAAGGGAAAGTTATGAGGAAATAACTGTGTAAAAAACAAAGCTGTGATTCCTACAGTGCAATCCTAAGCAGAGTCACATCCTTCCAAGCCAGTTGACTTCAGCTGACTTAGAAGGGCGTGCCTCCGCTTAGGACTTCACTGCTAGTCAACTTATACTACCAAAAGTCAAAGTCCCTTTAATACTGGACTCTTCTCAAGCATTACTGTTTATTTTTGCTAACCTGCAGGTATATCATGACAGTGAAGAAGGACAAAGATATATACAGTTCTACAAACTGGCAGACTTCCCTTATGTCTCTATCCTGGATCCTAGGACAGGTAAGAGGGCAAGCAATCACTTGGGAAATATCTGTAGGTAAATTGGAAATGTACCTTTGCTTCTATTCAGTGAGGGATCTGCTTCTAGGTATTGGTATTGACCTTTAAAGCCTTGCGCGGCCTGGGACCGACATACCTGAAGGACTGCATCTCCCCATATGTGCCCTGGAGAGCCTTGCACTCTGCTGATCAAGATCTGCTGGTTGTCCCTGGCCCAAAGGGACGTCCACTTAGCCTCCACCAGGGCCAGGGCTTTTTCAAGTGAAACATGCTCCCACGTGAGATCAGGGCCCTGTGGGACCTAGTGCCGTTCCGCAGGGCCTGTAAAATAGAGCTGTTTCGCCAGGCCTTTGGTTGAGGTGGCGGGCATCCAGTGGAAAAGTTGGCCTCCCCTGCTGAAATCCACCATCTCTATGTGGCTCAGATCAAGTAGACCTCAGAGACCTAAAGACACCAGTTCTGGAGATTGTGGGCACAAACAAATAGTGCAATCTGTTTTAAATTATTGTTCTTAACCATTTTAATCTGATTCTTAATATATTTATATTGTACTAATGTGTTTATATATTGTAATGCAAAATGGCCCTGTGATCCACCCTGAGCCCACTAGTGGGGAGGGTGGAATATAAATCCAAAAGATACAATACAATAAATTCTAGTCTATCTTGAGAAGGCTTTGCTCATGGTTCATCAACATCCTTTTCTCTTTTGCTGGAAGTCTGCATGTTCATGGGCAGTATCCTTTTGCATGCCAAGAGCTAGATGCAAAGGAGGGTTGCTGCTGAGATGCCCTGCTCAGGAGTTTTCCAGGGGTGACAAACTGGCTGATCATTGAGTGCTGGATTAGATGGACCATGAGTCTGATTTGTAAATCCATTCAGTTGCTATTCAGTAGTTGGAATTAAGAAGGAGCTAAGTATCTCTTCATTTTCTGCAGTTTGTTCTCGATGGAGAGGCAACAGCTGTATCACTTTGCATGTGTGTTCTGACTTTTAAAAACACCACCTATGAGAAGGCCATGTTAAAATGACACTGGTGATGTACACTTCCAGGATCCTGCAGAATGAGAGTAAGCTCTGTAAGAAGGAAACTTATGTGCACAGGGGTCTGCAACTTTTGTTTTTGTTTCCTAGCAAGCTATTATATTTGATCCCTGCTGGTCTCTGGCCTCTCCTGTGCACCAGAACAGAGCTGAGCATTTCTCATGGGCTTCTGCAGATGACCTAAGTGGCACAAGAGACTCCTTTTGCCTTTTGCAAAGTCCATACAAAATGAAGTGAGAGCCACCTCTACCCTCTGAATTCTGTGTTGTGCTTAAAGGACTTGTAAGGGCATAATCTTATTTCAGCTCATACAGGTGTGGGGCATGGGTCCTAAACAACCCCTACGGTTTCTGTCTGAGGGAAGGAAGTTGCTCATTTCTCCTTCTCCTTCATGGAGGTGAAATCTTAGCACTTTGCAGAGCAGTGGTGAAGAATCCTTAGCCACCAAGCTCCAAGCCCCTTAAATGGGGCATGGAAATCCCTCACATGCCCCATATCTGCCACCCCTCCATCCCCATCCAGAATCCCAAGGGATCTCCAGGTTTCACAGGACTGGGGAGAGCATCCCTGTTGCTTGACAAGACCAGTGCTCCCTGCCTTATGTCAGGCTTCCACATGGGATCGTACTCTGTTTGTTGAGACAACCAAGGACTCCTCTCCTGTGGAGATCCAAGCTCTACTGCTGTTCTTTTGCTAACTGACAGTGCAGTCTGACAGATCCACCCTTAGTGGGCTTCCACTGCATAAGAGGACTTTGAAGAAGGTAAGAAGCAAGTCTTCTTGCTTCCCTTTCTTCAGTGCCTCCATAGGCATTCAAGAAGGGGGAAGAGTGTAGAGAACTTGTGTCACTGCCTCCCTTCTCCGAAGCCTCATAAATGGCCCCATCCCTCCCCCAATCCTTGGAGTGTGTCCAAAGAATCTCAAAAAGGATAGGTCTCGTCTCCTTTCTTGCTGTCTTTTATGGAAGGTGTAATGCTTTGTGTTTGCTTCATTCCACTTTACACGGAGAGTGATTAAAATGTGGAATTTGCTGCCAGCGGATGTAGTGATGACCCCAGGAATAAACAGTCTTAAAGGGGGATTAGATAGATTCATGGAGGAAAAGTCTAGCAATGGCTACTAGCCATGGTGGCTGAGGGGAACCTCCATATTCAGAGGCACTAAGCCTCTGAATCCCAGAGCCAGGAGGCAACATTAGCCTCTGTGGCCTGTTGTTGGCTGTCCAGAAGAACTGGTTGGTCACTTTGGGAGACATTGGTCAGATTATGTTCTTATTCTCTTTGCTGCACTGATCACTAGAGACTCCTGTTGATGAAGCAGGATTTCTCATTGCTGTTTTCAAACAGGGCAGAAGCTAGTGGAGTGGCGCCAGTTAGATGTAACTTCTTTTTTGGACCAGGTGACTGGGTTCCTTGGGGAGCACGGACAACTGGACGGGCATTCCACCAGCCCTCCCCAGAAGCGCACTCGTTCTGTAAGTATAAGATCTTTTGAAGAACTGTATTATTGCATTTGTGTTGGTATTGTCAGTTGATGTAGAATCTGTATGTTCCAGTATGTTGAGGTTACCCAGGTTAACATCCAAAAAGAAAGTTGCACTGGAAGCAAAACATGTTTGACAGCCTCAGGTTTTGTAAGGCTTTTTTCCTTCTTTGAGTGTACTAGTTGAAAAAATCAGCTGATCCTTTTGTCTCCCATTTGCTTTACGGTTTGCATTGAGTAGGAGAGCCTCATTGATGCAAGTGAAGACAGCCAGCTGGAAGCCGCCATCAGAGCCTCTCTACAGGAGACACATTTTGAATCCACCCAAGTCAAGCAGGACAGCAGATCCGATGAGGAGTCTGAGTCTGAGCTTTTCTCCGGAAGTGAGGAGTTTATTTCCGTTTGTGGCTCTGATGATGATGAACCAGACAACATTGCCAAGTCTAGGAAGTCTCCACACAAGGACTTGGGGTGTAGGAAAGAGGAGATCAGAAGACCTCAGCCTGAGCCTACAGCAAGGACTGAACCCGAGATGGTAACAAACCATCGAGGACTGTCTTACGTAGATTCAGCGGTGCTAGAGGAATCTGCAGTTAAGCCAGAAGCTACAATGAAGGAGCTGAGCATGAACGGTAAACTTCATGTTTTAAATGTACCCTGCTATTTCCCCAAAGCATTGAAGTTGTCCAGACACATTCTGGCATACATCTGGCTGGGTGTCCTATAAGTCTGACAACACAGCTGTGGTCCTGCTGGAATACTGTTGTAGCCAAAGAGTATACGAGATCACAGTCTAGGCAGACAAATTTTTCTAAAAAACAGCATGGAGAAGACAAGGACAATAAGTGCAGCAAAATGTTTCATATTTTAAAAGTACATCCCCTTAGAATAGTGCAGTTAAAATATTATAAACTCTATATTACAAAATATGGCTGGAACTACAACCACTTTAAAATCCTAAAACAGGAAGACGAGTAGTAAAGAGCCACTTAACGTCTTTAAAAAACAAGGCATGATGGATATTAACAGGAAGAGCACTTTGCATGCTCATTGAACAGCCCTATAAAGAAGGCCATTATTATCCTCTTATTGCAGATGGGGAGGGGAACTGAGGTTGGGGGAAAGTGTCTTGCCTTATGTCATCATGTGAGTTTGTGGTCAAGAGAAAACTTTCAGCCATGTACATCCCATCTCATTGGGTTAGCCATTACACTACACCAGCTCCTAAGTAAGGAGTGAAATATAAGAAGCCTGTCAGGAAGAGAGGATGGTGGAATATAGTAGCAGTTCAGAGATGGTGAGTGCAGAGAACCAGACTACTGAGAGCTTTTAATATATAAAGCCTTAATTCAAATGTCATATAAAAGATGGAAAGCCAGATTAGCAGTGTGACCAGAATGCTATGCAGATAATTGTTGGAGCACAATTCTAAACAAAAAGGTTGGGGGAGAAGAGGAGGATCAGAAAGCAAAATATTTCAAAGCATCTTAAGTAAGGAACTACTCCAAAGTTTAGAAGAAAAATGGAACAGTAGTTAGAGAAGTGGGACCAAGTGAAGATGCTTAAGAAACAGGAAAATATGCCCTGCTTTAATGAGATTGGAGTAACACAGAATGGGACAGCCATTTGTTAGTCTTCTAACATTTGGCTAAAATACTGAGTCCCTCTGTTACAGGATCTGTTTTGTGGAGGTGAAAGAAAGGTCAGAAAAACATAGAACTACTAGCTTCCAGTGCTGCAAAAGGAACAACAAAGATTTCTATGGGTCACCTATAGAAATATAATCTCTGGCTCAGGGCTTGTGCCTGTAAAAAATAGAGTGGATGTTATATTAAGGAGGTTCTGTTTCGTTTGTAACTTTCTTCCTCTAGGACCAAAGGCACAACTAATGCTAAGGTATCCAGATGGGAAGAGGGAACAGATTTCACTGCCTGAACAAGCTAAGCTTCTGGTAAGTGGAAATGATAGAGTGTGAGGGGCATTGCTGCTTTGGTCTTAATGTCACTGAGGATCCCAGTTTATATTTCGAGGTTGATGCTCTCTGTCTTTTTTTCAAAATATTTCACATGTAAGTGGTATTTTGGCTGCCTCTTTAGCTGTTAAGAGTTTGTCTTGGATCAAGGGTTGACACTGTGTCCAAGATTACTACAAAATTTCTCCCAAATTAACTCACTAATTTTGCATCCTGCTTCTTCCCAGACAAACTTGAACACTTCATAATAGAAGCTGAATTTTTGTTTATTACGTACCATATTGCTGCAGGCAGACCTGTGCAGTTCCGCAATATTCAGTATTGGAATATTGAGAAACCTTGTGTTATCATCCCCTAGCAGCAGCATTCTGTGTCTAGAGAGGAGAGTTTGGAAACTTATAGTAAAAACACTAAAATATATGAAACAATGAAGAGTATAAAAATTAAACACAAATTGACTGCATCCTTTAAAGTCTATTTTTAGGGTACATTCATGGGAATCTGCGGCATAGTCTTAATTCACTGCCTTTGTTCTCACCCTTTCAGCTTAGTGCAAAAACAGTGAATTTAAGACACTGGTATACCATCACATGGTTAGAAAACATGACACTTCCTGTACCACTTGCATGTTTCATGCAGGTCTCAGTATCTTTCCTCTTCATGGTGTAAGTGGACAGGAGCAGGTGAGAAATCACAAGTGCACATGAACCACACAGGTGTTCATTTATCCCCTCCTGTGCCAATGTACCCATGACAATCTGTCAGTTTTTCAATAGCTAACTGAAGTTTCACACACTGACATTGTCTTCAGCAGTGAACATGTTGCCATCTCCCAGTCCACTGTGTTTAAACAAAAATCCTGATGGTCTTTAATTAAGACATTGGTCTTTGCTCTCTTTGCAGGCTCTCATCAAACATGTACAGTCAAAAGGATACCCCAATGAACGTTTTGAACTCCTCACCAACTTTCCACGGAGAAAACTTTCCCATCTGGACTATGACATTACATTACAAGAGGCTGGTCTTTGTCCTCAAGAGACTGTCTTTGTGCAGGAAAGGAATTAGCTCTTCTAGCCTTCCGTCATGTCATCTTGCCTACAGTACTATTCCCCAAGTACGCAGTTGACTTCCCAAGACTGTGGAGCTGAAACGAGGCAGTCATATCGCAACTTTTCTCCCTCCCTCCTTTATGCTACTCTTGACTAGTCAGTCATATGAAAGCAGCAGGATAGGTTTACTTGGCTTTGGTGCTGGGGGAAGGTATGTCTGCTTCAGTGGCTTGTTGCCATTCCAGAATAGGGAGGGCTGTCCGTGCGTCCCGCATGCTGGGGACACTGAGCAGCCAGAGCAAGAAATGTTTCACTCTCCCCTTGGGAAAACAAATTATTTTCTTTAATATATTTTATTTTTCAAGAGGTCAAGTGACTGGCCATTAAGGGCTTCTTTACACCACCATCTAAGCATTGTGGTTGGCTGCCCAAAAGCAGTGCAGTATGTGGTTTTCAGCATGGCAAGCATGGCCTTTTTCCTGGGATGCCAATCTGTGCTGAAAGCTGAGTCCTGCAAGTACTTAGTGGGTGCATTCCGTCTGTTTTCCATGTGCTGGAAGCCACTATACACATAGGCTTTTCAAGGTGCAAGCATGTGTCCAGATGGTTGTTAAAGAGGCCCCAAGTCTTGCCCACATGTGAAGAAAATGTACAGAGTTGCAGCTCTTGTAGCACTTTGAGAGTCATAGCAAGCTCAGTTCCAGGAAAGACATAGACTCAGCAACATTTGAACAGCTGTATGGATTGATCTGTATGTATTCACCTCTTTTTGTTATGGGTGATGTTATTTGCTTTAAAGGAAGGTTAATGTAGTCAGTAGATCTAGCACAACCTAACCCTTGTCATCTAATCCTTCCTGCTTATCTAGAGCCATTAAAATTGTGGGAATTAGGGATGGCTTCTCATCTTCTACCTAGAATTTACCATCAATGGAATATGGCAAGATACGGACTCTGAATGTAAAACATTAAACCTGTTCTGTCATAATTTAATGCTGTTTTGATTTACACTGCTGAACTGAAATTTGGTCAACAGTGAGTCTTTGTGTACTTGTACAGGTGGCCAGGTTCTTAAAGAAAGCAATGTATTCTGTTTTGTTCCGTTAACTTTAAAATACTCTCATTAACACACTAACATCATAAGAGTAAGAAGGTTTTGGACTGTTCCCACCTGTGATTCTGAACTCCAGCTGTCCAAGCAGCTATTTGACACACTCTTTTTCTAATTGGCCAAGAACACATCAGTCATCATGATGTGGGTCACTTGGATTTGGCAGTGCTTAGCCCCAAACAGTGCAAGTAGGATAAGTTCATATTCTCACCACACACTTTTTCCCCCATCTGTCTGAGCCGTGCTTGTATTTCATTGTAGAATGGAAACATTTAGCCCCTTCTTTCTCTTCCTTAATGTAAGGTGACTTTTACACCTGAGAGGTTACTCTGTGTGGCCTGCAGTTCTGGTGATGAATGTGCTTAAAAAAATTTTTTTTAAAGCCAGAGCTGAGTTTATATTAAACTACACAACTGGCAACATGTGGATCAGCTTGTTGATGGAGACACATGAAAATGTTGAGTAAGGAATCCAGCTTTTGTCATCTGCCTCAAGACCCAGAAGCTTCAGTTCCTGAAAGCTGATGCTAGAAAATGTTTTTAATTGCATGGTTAAGGAAACTAAATGATAAAGGTCAATATCTTGATTAAAACCAAACTAGACTCTTACAGTCAAGGAACTAACTTTTTAGTAATCTGTGTATTCATTCACGTTTCTTCCCCTTGCTTCAGTTGCTGCCACCTCTGTCCTTTTCCTCAAGCTGCCTTCTACTCTTTAGTTAGGTTCTATTCTCTTTGTCCATTGTCTCCCTTTGGACACTCAATCCCTTATCTTCTTTACCTTTGGGTGTCTTTGTATAGTCATCTGCCCGCCCAACAAATCTACTTCTGTTCAGAGGATGTGTGATTTCAGTGACAATCAACAACTGGACTGCAAGCATTCTGAGACTATTGTTCACTGTCCTTCAGCATTTGTAATGTTTGTCAGCATTCCATGCTATTATATCAGCTCAGCAAATTGGTGTCAAAGGCTTTACTGCCACAGGACAAATGAATATAGATGGCATTTTCTGTTACTGCTATATTAATACCCAGGGCTTTTTTTTGTAGAAAAAGCCCAGCAGGAACTCATTAGCATAATAGGCAACACCCAACAGCAGGAACTCATTAGCATATTAAGCCACACCCCTAACATCACAGCTCATTAGCATATTAGACCACACCCCCATGTCACCACACTCACCTTTTGCTTCTTATTCTGTTTAC